AAGAAAACAAGGCATAGGGCCTTCTATGATATTTTGTGTGACCTTTGAGGTAGTTGGAATACTCATTACTTGTGGAGGGGGAACCACCACTTCTGGTAATATAGCTGAAACTGGCATTTGGCTTATAACATAAACAGTTACTCAAATGGAAGTTAAAGTTCCTGCATCACCAACTATTGTTTTGATCGGTTGTTCTTCAGTCTCTAGAGTATCGTTCTAGGGAAGGGAATAATTTTTTAGGTGCTCCATTTCAACAAGAGTTTTGCCATTCATGAGGCGCATACACACTCAGACATGAAAATATTTCATGTATGATGAACAAATCAGAAAGTAAGAACACAAAACACTTTTCTACAAAAATTTAAATTTCGCACAAAATGGTCTTATTATGCGTGCCAATCTGTTTACCGTTGTTTTTGGTAAATCAAATCACAAGTTTTCGGTTGACTTACATAATTAAACTTGAAAATTTTCTTAGGACATATTGTGCAAAAGATTTTAGAAAATATGTTTGTGGTTTGAATATTTTTGTTTGAATATGAAGAAATTGAAAAGAACTTTTGATAAGAATAATACAAAGAAACAATAAAAGTAGCTTAAACAAAAATACTTTGAGTACAAAATTATAACGCAAATTCATACATATTTTCTTCACAAACAGTTTTCTCCTTGTGACTTGGATACTCAAGTTCTGTAGAGAATAATGGTAAAATTTGTGAACTCTGATTACATAAATGGAATCAACTTATATACTACATACAACAATAATCGTCGATAACTGTTATTATCCTAGAACTCGACAAGTATCCTATTACGTGGACTTTTGTTCTCCGATGTGTTTTCATGTGTTGCTCTTTGAAATGTCTCTAAATTCTCTTATTGTTAAAACCTTCTTCACAACCTTTAACTATCCTTGTTGAGGGGTTTCTCGGTCAAACTCCGTAGTGTTGTTGACATGTCTCTAGATTGCCTAGTCTTTGACCTCAAAACACACTAAGTCCCAAAACACCTGAAAAGCAAGTCGAACTCACCGCTTTCACATCACACCTTCGTGTCAAAATGTTAATTAATTGTAAACCTTTTCGAGATTTTGGACATATTTTAAAGAGAGAGTGATCATAATCTTATGGATTTGTTCCTAAGACTCTTCTAAATCAAATTTAGTGGGTTTCAGTGTAGTGCCAAAAATCACAGGCTAACAACTGGAAGTCATATTTCTATCAGTTTTACTTCAACCGTCGGATACTTATGAAGCACATACACCTTTAGGATTAAACGTGTCATAGTGTCTGACACTTATATGATACTCGTATGACATGTGTCAAAAAAATATTCAAACAAAATTTTCAAAAATATCTTTGTTTAAACACTCTTTAAAACGTGTTCAATAATCATATGATATTCCTTCAATATGTGTCTAAATAATTCAAACAAGTTTTCCAAAAAATATATATATTTTTGCTTTGACATACCTTAGACATTCTTTGAACAAATATCAAACATATCTCTAAAAATGTCTCAAAGTAATATTGTTCGAGGAATGATTAATGTAATTAAATTCTATTTGAATATTTTTTACTTTTTTAAATAGAAGACGAATGTTTTTTCTTTTAAAATAGAAGATACTCGAGTGATAGTTGTTGCGTTCCATAGATTGGGACTTTCAAGCCTAACTCTAAATTCTTGAGAGAAACTACCTCTGTTTGGGGCACCTTTATAGGAAAATCCGGTTGGAAAGTGGAAAACGGTTTACAAACTAATTTTTGGACAGATTAGGTGGTTCCCGATTTCGGTCAAATTATTGATTAGGCTCATGATACGGTTCCACAAATTGAACACAGTAATATTGTCAGGAGTTACATGGATGAAAATCACGAGTGGAAGCTTAGAGGAGTGATTTCTTTTTTTCACAAGGATATTTTTAACCATGTCGGCTCCGTCTTGTATAGTGGTGGAAAATTGTTTGGGGTGGTGGGGCTGTCAAACATGCTGCAGGCATGCTGAAACACTGCGAGGCTGATGATATTATTGCAATTCGACAAAGAACTTGTCAATGGACATTTGCAGAAGTTTGGCAGGTGTCCCGTGACTACGCTAGTGTGGAAGAACAGAAATAATTGGTTGTGAAACGATAGCAAATTTTCTGTTTGTCAAATTAGGAATCAAGCTTGTGAAACACTGAAAATGGGGATGAATGCCTTTGATTACAACTATGGCAGCACTTTAAGTGGCTGCTTACTTTCCACCTGTCTATTTATAGGTCGCATGTTTTATTTAGCCTAACTAACTTTCAACAAAATTACTAACAACCATTAACTAATTAACTAACTAACTAGTAACAACTTCTTCTTAATGATCAATAGAATATCTAACTATTCTCTTAAATGTAATATGGATTTTGAATTTCACAAAATGGTGAGACGATCACGAATATTAGAGGTTTTTAGAGGATAATTTAATTAGGGTTTTAAATAACCGTCTTCGATAAAAGGGTATTAAAAAGTGTTGATATCAATATTATTATTCATTGTTTTTATGTTAAAGAATAAATTGTGATTAATTCACACCGTAATGAGCGTAATCAGTATCATAACACTTGTATCGACCGAAATCGTAAAAGTCTTTATGCGGCCTTGATCGTATTTTAGAATTCTGAATAATTGTTAAAATTTATTGTTAACTCCTAAAAATTTAAGTAAAATCGGAGTTCAATCCAACGTTATAAAATCACTTATAAAATTAAATTTAGGTAAACATAACTTTTATGAAACAATAACATGCTCAACTCAATCTTGATTATTACATTGATCAAAACAAATTCCATAATAAGAAACCCATATATATCCTCTAATATAATAACATAGTAGGAATATATAAATTTACACTGATTCTCCAAAATCAAAGAGGAGAAGGTGCAGGTGCCACCACAATGTCTTCTGAAACAGCAGAAACTGGTCCAAATGCAGCTCCAGAACTCACAAGCTCAACCATAGCACGACGAGGATTGCTCTTATGTTTCTCACATAATTCCGGCAAAAACACTCCTGTTATTCATCATAAAACAACACAAATTTAGTTATCACCTAAGTTGAATTCGATAAAAATATCCGATGATAAACCACTATTATTGTCATTTTTACCTTCTCCAGCAGCCAAGTTGAAGAAAAGATCAACAATGTTAGGACACTTCTCATAACAAGCTGGTGAACAAAGCTTGCCGGTGAACTGTGGCTCAAAGAAAGCGTCAGATGATATACCAACAGAACTTCTATCAACACCACATCCTCCCACACACTCATCTGTCTCTATGTACTCCGACATTCTCTCCACCACAACTTCAGATGTTCTGCACTGATACTCAGTTTCACCGTTGATTCCTTTCTCCGTCTCTAACAAACACCTCTTCCCCGAAGAAGCTATTGAGAAAGTACACACTTCTTTCGGTAAGTCCTCGCATATCATCTCACCTGCAAAATTCACAAGTAGGTTTAATATGCATATCATAAGAAAATGTCAAAGAAAAATAGTAGGATATAAATAATATAGAACTTACCAAAAGATGCATGGACGAGAAAAGAAGAAAGTAACAAAACCAATGATAGTTTGTTTGAGAAAGACATGCTTCTAAACAAAGGTTTTTTCTGTTTTTGTATGTAAATGTAATGAGAAGTGTTGAAGATATATTGAGAACTATGTTTTGGAAATGGTATCATATGGTTATATATATATTTATAGTCTGATTGGAAGTGGTAAAACTAAAACGCGCGTTTCTATTGGACTTAATGACGCGTTTGGAATGTGCGAAATTTGGCCAAGTCTAGGAATGTCATTGTTTTTAGTTTTTTAATGAAACAAAGACGGTTTTTTAGAAGTTTGGTTTTATATATTTTCTTACGTTTTGATAGTTGAATTGTATCCTTTGGTGGTTGATATGGGTGTGCATGATTATTCATGATAGGTGAGACGTGTTTGGAGGTTTGCATTAACGACTTTTAGAAGCTTCGTATAAATTAAGTTATAGAAGTCAATTTTACTATTTGTTTAAATTCATGTATAAGTTGGTAACTTGCATACATTATTTCGGCCGATCCATAAATATTTGGCTGATACGATAGAAATTTGGATTTGAATTCAATTTTGAGCTCGTAACATTGTTAAATTTTAAAAGAGTTTTATCCTCTATTATAATCCTTTTCAATTCGAGAGTTAGTATCGCACGTAAAGAATTCCAACGGTATAAAAAGAATATATTGTTTAGGTGGCATATTTAGTTTTAAACAATTTCGGAGAGAGAAATGGAAGCGTCGTTTGTCATTTGAGGGGTAACGTGTGTGCCTAACAAATGTCACTTTGTGGTCGTTGAAAGCAAGTTTGAAAGTGTGAATGGTGATATTTTAATCTATTACATTCTGTTGAAAGTTTGATCTCAATAGTTTATTGTTCAAATTATTTTTAAGTAAAGGTATTCAAAGTATAAATTATTATTATATATTTAACTCACTTCGTTACAGTACCATGAGCATGACACGTAGCGACAATCCAAAGCTAGTTTGTTGCTTCATTAAATCATGATCAACATGTCATTGCGATGTAAGATTAAGGAACACAACGTTGAAGCTGTTTTGGCGTGAAAATGAATTCCAAATATTTAATGTAATGGATACTTTTAGGCGGCTCGTCAAAATAGAGCAATGTTTGGAGGAGACTCATTTCTTTCAATTGATTAAGGATTTTGAGAGAGAACTAGAAATATGTTATGTCGAGGGAATAAGATTTTGTTACATAGTAGTGAGAGTTTTTGGTGCGGTAGAGTGGAAAAGATTTGTAAATCTAACATTTTAATACTCGAGTATGTGAAATCATATAAAGTACTTTTAGAGTTAGTGACATAATGTTTGAAATGATGTGTCTTTGGGATTATATATAGTAGACGGTTAAAATTGTTTTTGTCTAACTCGACATGAGATGTGAGAAGTCATCTTATTGGATCAAACAACATATGATGCTTAAGTAGTTAAGAAAGTATTTGACATTTAAAGAGGTCTCACCTATTCGTCTGTCGGCTACGTGGATATTATGGATTTGCCTTACAATTGAGCCTTCATCATTAGGCCTCTGGTCATCCCTGAACAGTTTCTCCCAAGTCCTTCTTGATATTGATGAAGTGAGATTTGATTTGTCTTTCTGGTCCAGCCTTCGGTTCATTAAAGAGGAGAAGAATGATGAGTGAGAAAAGGTAGCCTTAGGAACATGCACATTGAATATTTGTCTTATAACTGCATTGTTTCGCATGCTACATTCTGTTGGAACAAAAAGGTTTTCAAGAAAGATGAGAGAAGAAGAAAAAGAGAAAAAAAGAGAGAAAAATTATAAACTGAATTTGTGATAAGCGGAATCCTTATAGAGTGAAGTTGTTATTTTTTACATCATATCATGCCTTTTATATAGTCAATAAAAGCGCAAACCCAATACTTACAAAGTGTAAAATATAAAGCTATAAGTTACACTTCTACAAAACAATTATATATCGTATTTGACTCTGTCAAATACAGCTGACTCCTACTACTTCGACATGGTTGAATGCTAGTTTTCTACCAAACTATGAATTACAACTAACACACAACCTAATTCATGTTTTCGAGACTTCTCATACAAATGTTTTTCTTCAACTCGTCGGATCTGACTTTCTTCAGGGGTTTGATGAGTATATCAGCTAGTTGGCATTCTATCTTGAAATGCTCAAGTTCAAACTTTCCTTTGTTAATTTGATCCTTAAAAAATTGATACCCCTTCTCTATGTGTTACTTCAACCATGACATACTGGATGATTTTCCATGTCAATAACTTGTTATCTACAAAAAAAACTTCATTTTCTTAGGTTCTATGATCTTGAGTTCTTCGAGCAGCATCTCCATCCATATTGCTTGACATGTTACATAGGATGTAGCCATATATTAGTTACACATGATGACAAAGCTACAATGTTATGCTTCCTTGAGCTCCAAGAGATTGGAGTGTCTCCGATCATGAATATGTAGCATGCAGTACTCTTCTTCTCGTCTTGATCTCCACTGAAATGTGAATCAGTGTAGCCATATACCTTTGCATATGTGTTGGTCTTATTTTGTCTTAGCATCAACACATCATAATTAATCGTACTCTTTATGTATCTTAACTCCTTAATTGTAGTGAGATGCCATTCTTGGGATTTCTCCATGAAACGGCTCGACAATCTGACACTCTGACAGATATCTAGTGTGGTATTGCAAGGATACCGTAAGGATCCAATGATTTGTTTGTACATTGTCGCACTTACAAACTTATCATTTGTATCCTTCTTCAACTTTGCTCTAATTTCTAATTGTGTGACATGTGCATTAAAGTTGCTCATCTTGAACCTCTTCAAGATATCTTAGGCATAATTCTTATGGTGCAAGAACACTCCTTCACATGTGTCTTTGAACTTCATCCCTAAGAAATATGACAATTTCGCAAGGTCGTACATTTCAAACTATTGCATTAGCTTCGATTTTACTCTTCTTATCTATGTTTTATCTGCACCTGTAATCAACAAGTCATCTACATACAAGCACTACTATAAATAATATATTTTATGACAAAACTTTCACCTCACCCAACTAAAAACCGAGGTAAAATACAAAGGCACGCCATGTTTATTTTATTTTTAAATAAATATCACATATTCTCTCAGTTTCTAAATATAACCGAGGGGAAAAATAATTCAGAACATGCTTTGAATCCAAACAACAACGATTTATGTTTTTATTTCTTTAAAAGTAATGTCTTTCTTTTTTTAAATTAATGATCTATTCCTTCGGTTATATTTAATAACTGAGAGATTAGGTTATCAGATTTTACTACAAAAGCACTCGTTAATCAAATTTTACCCTAAACCTAACTTATATGTAGCCACTCCAAACTTGTACGCATCATACTTTGGGATGGATTGCAAGACAGAAAAAATCTCCAATGTTCTTTTATCCTGAACAAAATATTTTTTCTACTCTTGCAATCCATCCCAACATAATGGTGTTGATGTTGTTGTTGTATTTTTGGAATAACCTTCCTATGTTGTCAATCAAAGAAAACACTCTTTAATTTATTATTTTTCTCGGTTGACAATATTGAAAAACTTATTCCTAATCACGTTATAAATTGCAAGCACATGTATCTTGTTCTCTTTCATGTGAAAGCATTTTTCATGAAAACATTTGCTCAAGATAATGAAATCTCTCTATGATGGATTGCAAGTACATAAAAAAATTATCTTAATTGGAACAGATAACTTATCAAAATTTTGAAAAATATGTTGTTCTCCAAAAATTCATTGACAAAATATTGATTTTTTTTTTACAATTTATTTAAATACTCTGTGTAAACAATGTAAATATAAAAAAATTATTTAAAAATTTTTTTAAAAAAAAAATCTTTTTCCCCTAGGTTTTAAATAAAAACCGAGGTATGTGGCGCTTGGGGTGAAATAAATTTTATTGTATTTTCAATCCAATGGGCATTACGTTATAATAATAATAGTTTCTTGATTCAGTCATGAAAGTTGTGTACCTTTTATCGCTTTTAGCCATAGGTATTTGGTTGTAGCCCGAATATGCATCCATGAACGATAATAATTTAAAATCGGCAGAATTATCAACTAATTTGTCTATGTCGGGGAGGAGATACACGTCTTTAGTACAGGCCCTATTAAGATCAGTATAGTCAACACACATTCTCCATTTTCCATTTGATTTCTTTACAAGTACAACATTGAACAGCCAAGTAGTGTACTTGGCTTCCGAAATGAAATTTGCCTCTAGAAGGTATTTTACAGCTTGCTCAGCAGCCTCCATTTTTTCCAGGGACTGCTTGCGCCTATAATGGGCTACTGCCCTTACAGTGGGTTCGATGGTGAGCTTATGGCAAGCCACCTCTGGATCCAGCCCGGGCATCTCCGAAGCACTCCAAGCGAACAGGTCAGTATTCTCCCTGAGGCAGGCCTTCAGTTGTTTCCTCGTAAGGTCGAGGAGGCCGGTCCCAATTTTCACTCTCTTGTGGGGGTCGTCACCGAGGGGGACTAGCTCGAATTCTCCATTTGGGATTCTTCATAGAGGATGGGCAGGCTCGCCACTGCTTGTTGCTGTTGAGGGGTTGCTCGAACTTGGCTGAGACTTCTTCCCTTTTTTCTTCTGGTTCCGTAGGTCATGGAGAAACGACTGTCGAGGTCGATGGAGTCGACGCGGGGTAGTGGTTTCACCTCGTCGGAGCTGCAGGGCAGGACAAGCCTGCTGGATGTCTTTGGTCGAGTGGTGATGGTGCTCAGCCCTTTTGAGGATGCCTCGAAGCACCTCCTTGTTGCCTCTATGTCTTCGTGCAAGGTGGCGACGAGCCCTTTGGAAGTGTAATACTTTATCTTCAGGTGAACTATGGAGGGCACGACTATCAGTTTGGCCAGCGTTGGTCATCTGAAGATGCACTGGTAAAGGGATGGATAATCAATTACCAGGAACTGTACCTTGATGGATTTGGTCGTCTCCACTGACCCGAAGGTGACAATCAGCTCCACGTATCCCCAGGGCTTTGTGACAGAACTGTTGAAGCCTTG